TAAGCGTGGTCACCTAGTTTGGCCAAATTAGCTTTTCCGGTTCAAGATTGAAGCTAGACCACTGATCCCGCGCCATTGGATGTGGTGACGTCGGTGTGGGGTGTAATAAGCCCAATTGAGGTAATCTCCGGCATCTTCTCTTTTACTTTCTTGCTCTTTTATTTTATATTCTCAAGCATAATATTAGGTTGAATAAATGGCATCAAGTGGTTGAGTTTTATTTTATTGTTGTTTTATTTTAAAATATTTATTGATTGTAATAAGACCATCTGTAAGTGATCTTTTTGTCAAAATAAAAAAAGGGGTGATTATTATCATCAAAAAAAAAAAAGTGTATTTCGTGGCAAAATATCACATAGGTCTTTCTTTCAATTCCATGCAACTATTAGTATTCTCAAACTGAACAACCTCCTATAATGCAAATTCCCAAGAAAAATGTTAACTTGGTAACAGTTTTCAAAGGAAATACCAGAGCTCAATTTGAGATGGAATAATTATTTGGTGTTGGGATACTAACCACTTTCCAAGCGCCTGCCTTTTATTATTTTGCATGTATAAGCAAAAAAATATTTCATAGGGTCAAGGAACCGAAACCTCAATTTGGCAAGTTAAATATCTCTCAAGAGAAAGCGCCCTCAAGTCTATCATGATGCATTAATACAAACAAGGATGATTATCCTAAATGAAGTGGACCATTCCAAATCTAACAAAACTTGAATTTCTTTTATTTGATAATTCACAACAAAATAAATAAAATTTATAATACTAAAATATAGATACATCAACATAAATGCTCTACTTGACCCAAAACCAAAAAAAGACTTTCTTGAAGTACATAAAATTATGTAGGTTCCAAAATGAAAATGTTGTTTGGGTACTATGGCATTTCCACTGTTTGGCTACACGTAATCGTAAGGAAATGGAAAGAGATTACATGAAATTTCCCCCAAAAAATCAAGAGATAAGGAAATGGAAAGAGATTACACGAGATTTCCCCAAAAAAATCAAGAGATTACACGAGATTTCCCCAAAATCAAGAAATCCGCCATAGGTGAAAAATCTATTAAAAGAGTGACTGGTAATTTAGGGAAATCTTTCGCATGTGTTTTTGCCTACCCTATCTCTGATTAAAAAAATCTTATGAGCCCACCCTCTTCATAATAACTAGGTGATCCCTCCCTTTTTAAGCTCGTCCCTTTTATCTATCTGAAGGCATCAGCTATCATATCAAAACAAAAATAAAAAAAATAAAAATCAGTAATCAATGATAAAATTACACAACACAATCATAATAAAAAATTTCACACAACATAATCCTCATAAGATATTACTAAAATCTCAATTGAAATAACTTACCTCTTTAGTCTTCTCCAATATCTCAAATTTTATACTGTAATTACCAAACCTTCTAGTTTACTAATCAAACTTCTTCCCATTTTTTAACTCGTACCCTACAGATTTTGAATTTAGTATCATATAGAGAGACATTTGAAAGACTTCTATATAAAATAAATAAAAATAAGGCATATCATAATAAAATCATGTTATTCCAATCATATTGTTCCAATGAATTATCATGTTGAAACCAATGTCATGTTAGAAAACATGTGATTGCATATAAGTGCCAAAAGGCACTTAAAATAAGTAGGAAATAGTGTCATGACTGTAAAATGGTACAAGTTATTATTAGAAATCTTTTTCGAATGGTGATAATGTTGTTATTAGAAATCTTTTTGGAATGGTGTGATGATGATTTTAATTCAATATTTTAGTGGAATTTTGTGACAAAAAAGAAGGAAATGATAATTCTGCATTTTAGTAGAATTTTGTGACAAAAAAGAAAGAAATGATAGTTTATAGGCACGTGCCGGTAATATGTTGGTAATACATTTCCTATATTTCTTCTAAACATAGACCAACAATAACAATGTATTTCCCATGTTGCATCTAAATACTACCCAAATAGTAACAATCCATTTACAGGTAATGTATTACGCAGTAATGTATTACGCCAGTAATATATTTAGACAATATATTTTCAGGTATCCAAACGGCCCTTAAATGTAAAACTTGAACTCAATTGTTGGATCATTCTAATATGCTGCAACCATAATTTGCACAAGAGTAGTCCATAGGCAAAGGTCATTCTCTGAAGCAAGAGTAGGGAGCCTAGCAGTGACACTGTGACATTAACCCAAGATTGAGTGTTGAGGTGGCCTATTTGATTGTAGAGGTTATATATAAATAGTATTTTAAATCATGGAAAATTGTTTCATGCGGGCTAGATCATATTTCTATATATGCGGTCTAGAAAGTGTAAGGCATCCATATTAAAGATGGATGCAATTAAGGGTTGCATCTAAAAACAATGGAAACTAATGGTCCAAATATTTTCTTACTAAAATTATTATTTTTAGCTTTTAAAATTTATTCATTTTTTCATATTCATGATCTCCATGTTAGATATTACATGTCCTTAAAAATTAATTCTTAAAATCCATCTCAAAAATAGATTTATTAAGAAGCCCGCATTTCTACATATGCAAGCTTGGCCGCATAGAAACCGGGTCCTTAAATCATTTCACAAAAATCAATTGTCTAATGCATGTCCATCCATATAATTTCCATTCCAAAATATGCATTCCAATTTATCCTAATTTCCATATCCATGACAAAAAGAAACCACCATTTGAAGCATGTCATCAAGAATTAGAAAACTCAACTTGCAAAAATTTCATAAAAGTGAATCAACATACTGCATGACAACCTTTAGATATTTACTTCAGCATTCACATGCCATCCCTCAGTCAACATGCATATTTTTTGCTACAAAATATATTCTGGCCCAAGGTTCTAAAAAGCAAAGTATGGTTGTCTTTCCATAACATTCAAAAAACCTTCGATAGAAAAAAAAAATAAAATGAAAAGAGTGAAGAACCAAGCACATACAAGACAACTGCAAATTGTGAGAATTCATTTTCTATTACAACTCACAGATTTGTATTAACATCAGTTGTGGACTTCTGCCCTTAAATACATGTGTTCCTAGAACCCTGACTAATGATTCATGAATACTTCAAAATGGGTGTCATATACATGTCAGATAATTTACAAACACATGAAAGATCACCAAAAACTTGATGTTTTAGCCATGTCCATAACCATATCCATGAATTATAGACCTCAACATCACCTCAAAAAATACCTACAAAATGTTTACTTTCTAACAAAATACAAGCTGAAATTTAGAGTTTGGGTCTACCAATTAATTATTGCTCCTTTGACTTCCTCCTCCATGCTGGAACTGGGAAAGTAAGACCAGCTTTCATTGCCACCTCCAAGATATCGGCACCTCCAAGACTAGTATCAGGTTGCACAGATCCCTCATTCATAAAAAAGTCCATAAATTTTTGAGAGGAAACCTTATCACCATTAGTACCAACCACTTTCTTAGGAAACTCTGAAGGCACTTGTGGTGACTTTCCTTTGGCTCTTGATGCGACATCTTTGACATTCCTTGGAAAATCTTCCTTTTGGAAGACACCTTTATCATCCTCTATACCATTACTCAGGTCATCTTTCTTTTTGTTCATGGTATCAGAAACCCCTATATCCCTAGGACTATCTTGTGGGGAAAACTCATTGCCTCTGTATCTCTTTAAGCATCTGCCCCAACTTGTTGCCTCTAATCCCCCTTTAAACCACAGTGGAAGCTTTCTTTTGGTGTTCGATGGCACATCTTCACAAATATGTGCAGCATTACTAGAACCAACTTTAGACCTGGTGTCAACAAGCTCTTGCTCACCAGGACTAAGCGATGTGGATACATTTTCTATAGAACAGTTGCTGCGGGAACTTTTGGATCTATTCTGGGAGGAACTTGGGTTTCCACAACTAGGAACTGAAGATATATCATTGTTAGCACCTTCACCAGATGAAAGTTGAGGTATGGAATGGGAAAACCTTAAATTTCCATGGCTAGGCTTTTCGCAACAATCTATGTGAGCACCTTTTTTAGGTCTTGATATGGGTGGCTTTCGAATGCGAGGCCTAAGCTTTTCATGTTGATCTTTTGCAATATACTTACCAGAAAAACCTTCGGATCTGGACTGTGAATACCCTAAATCCAAATGGGTATCCAACAAATTCATATCTAGAGTGGCATCCGTACCAGACATAGTCCCGCAACTAGATGCTAAGGATGAACCCTTGGTGTGAACACATTCACTTCGTAGACCCCCAGATGTGAGCATAGAAAGAAGAAACTCTCCATCACCAGGAAAATGCATCTCGAGCCCCGAAACCAATTTTGCAGGTTTCAATTGAACATGTGTCATTGATGATTTACTGGCCATTTCTTTGACATTACCAGGTATGTCTTTCTCAGCAGTAGCCCTAACCTCACTTTCAGTATTAAACCTTACCCCACGAACTTTTGGTTGTCCATGACTAGTTTTTGACATTGATCCACTAGGAACATCTTTACGATTCAAATATTTAATCAATTCACATGGTGCAGGCTCTCCAACTCTGTCACTTAGATTTGAGCTCTTGTCAACAATTTTATGAGTAAGACCTCCAGAAAAACTTGAAATTACATCATGCTTTAGCTTGGAAATGGCATTTCTTGCTAAGTTTTCAAGTTGTTCTTCATTAGCGGAATCCAAGTCATTCAATTCATCCGAGAAATCCATGTAGATTGTTCTCAAGACCTCCCTAGCAAGAGCAAGCTTCACTGGTGAAATTTTACCAAAATCAATATCACTGCAACTTTGTGGAGCCTTACCTTTTCAATTTCGTAAGGTATTTGCAGGATCTTCCTGAATTCGATCCATGATGCTTTTCACCTATGAATTCTGGTCACCGTTGCCTCTCTGATACTCGTCCCTCGTGTTCTGAGATCAAAACACCGTCTTCTTCATATGAATTTTCAGAGATTTCCAATACAGAGCACATGAATATTGCCGTTGGAATCTCCTAAAAATGGCCAGCTTCAGGTGTATCAGAGTCGTGAGGAAAAAAAAACCCCAAGCATTATTCCATGGATTTGATTAGGGGAAGCCATTGAAGCTAATCTGAACATACAGATATCACTGTAAAATTGGTCGATTTCAACCAATTTTTAGGGTTTTCAGCAATCCGCCAGATCAAGAGCACTTGCAGTAATGGCGGGAGAGGTTTTAGGGCTCGAACTTGGGTTTGAACTTTGAAATGCTGTGAATTTGGATCGAAAGCTTCTTTAATAATTTTAAAGCGCCGATGTACGCCCCTGTTTCTCAAAACTTGGTTTCAGTGCTCCCGCGGGAGTGAGTCTTTAGACTTGTAGGCAAAAACTCAAAATCTTAATAGCACGTTTGGTTGGTGCATAAAAATTTCCTTAGAAAAAAGGAAAGCTTTCTATGTTTATGTTACAAACTTACAACATATAAGTTCTATCCTTCCAATTGTTTATTTGTTTATTTTTTAATTAAAGGCTAAGATTCTATACTCTCAATTGTTTATTTTTTAATTGAGGGCTAAGATTACCAGATTTATATACTATTTTATTTTTTATTTTTTTTATAAACTGTTTTGACATCAAATTTTAGACGTTCATCCTTCTATTAAACTCATATTAACCAAAAATATAAAAAAAATATTTTCAATGAAATAAAATAGCCAAAATACCCTTAAAAGTTTCAATGGATATTTGGTCATTATTTTTTATCGAAAAATTATTATTAATATTTTTTTATAGGTGTGCCCCAATGAGAAGATGGCACGTACCAAATTTTATATTCATAAAATTTATATTAAAAAATTAAAAATAAAATACTTTAAGACGTCGGATCTAAGATCAAACAGTGAGTGGCTCTCTTGATAAAAAAAATGAATCGCTGGATGGTAGGGGGAGGATAGAACTTCTATATTGTAGGGAGAACATAAAAACCTTTCCTAACTTTGACGAGTACTGTAACTGCGCGCTTCTTGATCTAATGCAGATCTGAATCTTATATGTAATTTTAGATTCATATTAGAATCTAAAGATTAAAGTCAGATTGGATCCGTATTTAGATTCAAATTCTATGTATATTATTTGGATTCGGATCCCATGTATATTATTTGGATCTGGATCTGAATTTAGTGGATCCGGACCCGATTCGAAAAATTCTCTCCTAACCGAAATTATACACAGACTTACCATACAATACAAGGCACAATATCCTATCTTTCCCAATTTATTATTACAATATACACTTCTACATTAACCGGATATACAATATATACATTCCTTTCATAGTCCCCTCAAACTCAATATGCTATGAAAGAGAATAGTTGGAGTTTGAATACTAAGTTGCTGAAAATGAGCAGATGAATCTTCAAATGTATACTCATACTGCTTGATCAACAAGCATAGAAAAGTAGTAGCAAATCAACCGTCCTCAAGAATATATAGCTTTCAGGAACTCTTGAAAATATCAAATAGATCAAAGACTCGTAACACAATTTGGCATAGAGACAGATCAAATAGTCAAAACACGTCTAGGCAGATAGACAAATCACTGAGTTGAAGCATGACTCGGCAAAGATGATATATCAGGTAGTCAAAACACGATTCAACAGAGAGGTGAAACACGACTCGACGTAAATTGCACTGACTAGATGAGCAACATACTCATCTTGAAAGTTGACGGCAATGCTTAGGAATGAATATAACTAAAATGAACCTCGCTTTGATATTATGTAAAGAGTCACATGTTTCTCTGAAGAGACTCAGTGCCCATTAATTGATATGAATATACAAACTTATACTTTATATACAAATTATTGATGACACTAATATAAACTAAATCATAAACACATAAACTATACACAAACGTACCAGAAAATATAGACACAATATCATACCCTTATCATATTTACTTATTGCAATATATACCTTCTATATTAACCTGATATACAATATATACTTTCCTTTCATACACTTGAACCTCAACTATTAATGTAGGTTTCTATTCCCATTGACGCATTGAAAACCGCTAAATATTTATAAAAATGGATATGGGTCCACTCGTCTACCAAAAAAGAAAGTATATTAAATCCATACCTACAACATATAAAGGGTGTGGTTTCTATAAAGTCGCAACCTTAAACAATCCAATTAAAGCGCACCTCCATGCTATGATGTAATTTTGTTGTAAACAATTATTAGGATTATATGAAAATCTATTTTTATATCTAATTATAAAATCTAAATTCCAAAAATAGTTAAATATTATAACTAATAATATATAATTATATTCATTTAACTATTATATTATATTTTTATTTTTATATTAAATGCAAAATATTATATAATATATATTGTATTGTAAATATCAATTATATAAATAAAATATATTATAGACTATATAGTGAAATATACATTATATAAATATATTTTATTATATATTATATATATATAAATAAATAAAATAAAATATATAATATATCATTTGTGTACAAATATTATGCATTGTATTATAATTTAATAATTTAATATATATTATTTAATGTTTATATAATATAGCATAATATAAAATAATATATTATTTATATAAATTGTTATTTATGTATTATATATTAAATATTACTGAAATACAATTTATATTTTAAATATATTATTTAATATATATAAATAAAACAACATGTAGTATTTATTATATTGTAATAGTGAATAGTAGGTCCGTGTGTGAAAATAAAAGCATGGGGAATGTTTTCCCACCTCAAGAGGTGAGGTTTTGTTTTACCATAAATTAGACTATTTCATGGTAGAACTTTTTCCCATGGATTTTTTTGCATATGCATTATGCAACAAAAAAAACGTATGGAACATAATTTACACGTGCAAATGTTTTATGAAAAAACATTTACGCATGAACCAAACATACCCTTAGGGCAAGTTTGATTTGTGCGTAAATATTTTATTTCGAACTACGCGGCAGCAGTGTTCGCAATATCATTCGGTTCAACTCGGAACCTGTTGGTTAGATTAGAACAGGGCATTGGCCAGTTCTGGTTTTAGCTGGCGTTGGTGATTCGGTAAGGTATTTTAAAAAATTCAAAACACTATATAAAATTTTAAAAATAAGGGATTTGTTCATAATGCTTTTTAGAATATTTTTTTATCATTTTGGAAAAGATTCGAAAGTGTGTTGGCCATAAATACTTATTTTGAGAAAAAGGGCTAAGTTGGGGTGGTAGCATCTCCATATCCTAGACACACGATGTGGTTTTCATTCCCATTAAAACTATCTCACTAATATCTTAAAAAAACTAACTCCTAACTATTTGTCAAAATGGGTTGGCATGTCTTACCTATTGAATTACCTAAAAAATAGGGAAAAACTTACTTTTTACATTTTTTTTATGGTTGTTTTGATTTTTTTTTAAAATATACTTGGGCACAAATGGTTTTTTAAAATTTATTTTTTACTAATTTTAATGTGTTTTGCTTAATCATATTTTAAATATATTTTTTACATTCATTTTTTATTATTTTTAAATTATTTTTGACCATCCTAGACTTGCGCGTTAGGCCGGTTGCCTCGGCCGGATTCGATTTTTCGAACACTACCCCGCAGTTTCAAGTTTCCAACACCAAACCCGTCTTCTTTCCCCACCAGTAAAAAACACCATGGCCATCAAACCAGTTTTATTTTATTTTATTTTTATTTTTATTTTTTTATTTTTTAACATTACATGTTTTTCGACACCGTGCCATTATCGTTCCATTGGTTTTTGTCCCATACTACAAGGAATCATGCTAAGTAGAGTTCTCCGTTCTCTCAAACAAACAAAACACACCTAGTATATAGTCTTTTCCCTCATTTCCAATTCTACTGTCCCAGCACAAACCATGATTCTCTCCTCTTCAAACCTGACTTCCCCAAATTTCAAGCAAAACCCAGTTTCAGAATGCCGATTCTGGTTGGAAAACCCTACTTTTAGGCGCTTAATTCCCCTCGGGTACAGAGGTTTCAGGCACAAAACTGTAAATCCAGTGCTTTCAGTGGCCAACAAGCAAAATCCACTCTCTGAATTTTCCATTTTAGGCTCCCAAACCAGAGGTTCGAGTCCCAGGAATGGGAATCTACGTTTTGGGGTTTATGAGCGTGGGTGTTTGATGAATTGTAAAGCTGTAGTTGCAGAGAAAGAAGTAGCGAAAAATGGGTTTTGGGGGGTTGAAAGGGAAGGTTATGACGCCATAGTTATAGGTTCAGGTATGGGTGGTCTGGTTGCTGCCACTCAGTTGGCTGTTAAAGGAGCTAGGGTTTTGGTTTTGGAGAAATATGTGATCCCTGGTGGGAGCTGTGGTTATTACGAGAGAGCTGGTTATACATTCGATGTTGGTTCTTCAGTAATGTTTGGGTTCAGTGACAAGGTTGGTTTTCATTTATAATTTGTTGACTTTTGATTCTGCCTTTAATTTGGTTCGTTTTATTTAGGGAAAGTATGGAACGAGACCATTTACCATTTGGTACAAGGTGTTAACATTGTGATATTGGGTGGCTGCAATTATTTCATTGACCAGGCTCAAACTTCAATTTGGGCTAAAATTAATGATTTTATTGTTGACCAGGCTCAAACTTCAATTTGGGCTAAAATTAATGATTTTACTGATTTCTAGCGCATGGTATTTTTCCAGTAATGCGTCCATTGTTAGTTTTGATGGTTGCTATTGTTGTTGTTACTGATTACACGTCCTTGGTTGATGCTCAAAAGGAAAAGGGGAAAAATGAGGGCTCATTATTCTATTATGACATCTGAGAACCAGAAAATATATTCGGTTCTGACTTCTGAGATCGGTTCTTTCAGTTTTTATAAGCATGGCATTCCTTTGCTTGAATGTTTTAAGATAATGGGGTCTCAACAGTTTGAGGTCTTTAGATTGGTTAATCTAGGGTTTTTTTTCAGAGCAATGACCTTCTCTTGTATAATTAGGATGGGTTTGCCAGTCCATTACCTGATGTCAATATACAAACTAAGAAGAAAATTATGTTGAATATTTTTCCCCTCCAAAAACATAACTGCTACTCTAAATAAACTAAAAGAAAATTCTGATAGTCTTTTCTTATGCAAAAATAAATTGCATCAAATAAATGTTTTCTTAATGTTCTTCTTGATATGATGTTGGGCAGGGGAACCTAAACTTGGTGACCCAAGCCTTGGCAGCTGTGGGGAAAGAGATGGAGTTAATACCGGATCCATCCACTGTTCATTTCCATTTACCAGACAATCTCTCCATTCGCGTGCACAGAGAGTACGGCGACTTCATTACCGAACTCACAGGGAGTTTCCCTCATGAAAAAGAAGGGATCTATAAATTTTACAGTGAGTGTTGGAAGGTCTGTTTTGGTGTCCATTTGAATCAGTTTTTAATCTTTAGTTTCAAGGAAACTTTGCAAATTTATAATATCAATTCCAATACCTTGCACACATGCTTGCAGATCTTTAATGCTTTGAATGCATTGGAGCTGAAATCACTCGAGGAGCCAATTTACCTTTTCGGTCAATTTTTTCGGAAGCCATTAGAATGCTTAACTCTTGGTAACAATTGACAATTGGATTTTTTTAATGAACTTCCGTTGCTTGATCTGTTGGTTATCTTTCTGTTCCTCCCTTCTATGGCTCTTTGTGTTGCTTCCACTGGCTTGTCCGAAGTTGGGTCAAGTCCATTGACAATCTAGATTTTCTTATGAGACTATGCTATGGTTATGTTTTATTGATTCTTGAGGATTGTGATCTCTCATCTTTATTTTATGCATCGATTTTAAGTTGTTATTTTCTTTGGCAGCTTATTATCTGCCTCAGAATGCTGGGGACATTGCTCGAAAACACATAAAAGATCCCCGTTTACTGTCTTTCATTGATGCAGAGGTATGGGTCATGGCTCTATACATGAAATGTTACTTGAATGTAAAGATCTCTTTAGTAATGCAAGTTCAATTTTTGTCAGACTGGAAGGATATAAGAGACATTTCCATGATTTGGGTGCAGTGTTTTATTGTCAGCACGGTGAATGCCCTTCAGACCCCAATGATTAATGCAAGCATGGTAAGGACTAGAGCTCACGTGAAAATTTCTTCAGTAGTTTGGTGTATTTTGCAATGAGTCATGCACAGAAAGATTTAAAGAGAAGGCCAAAAAAGGCATATTATGTCCAATGTTTTTTGGGTAATGGGGAAGACAGGCTCCTATCCATTTTTTCAAGTAGATTAAGAGATAGCTTATTTTTGAAGGTATTAGTGCGGTGGTGTTAGTGGTGGGAATGGAAACCACAATGTGGTGACTAGGATGTGGATGTGGGGTGCTACCACGACAACCCCAGCCCCTTTCCCAAAGCATATCATGTCATGCGCTTAAAATAAGGCAAAATGTTTGGGATGTTATGTCATGTCAATATTACTATTTACATGTAATATTATTATTGCGTCATCTGTAAATAAAAAAAATTTAAGTATGGAATATGTCATGTTAATATTCATAGCTTCATTTTGTTTGGAAACAGGTTTTGTGTGACCGACATTTTGGTGGAATCAATTACCCAGTTGGTGGTGTAGGGGGGATAGCAAAATCTTTGGCGGAAGGCCTTGTTAACAATGGTGGGGAAATTCTGTACAAGGCCAATGTGACTAGCATTATACTTGATAATGGAAAGGCTGTAGGTTTTATATCCATAGTTCTGCTATCCATGTATTTACTTCTCATTTTCTTTTCTTTATGAACTTGTAAAAATATTTAGATATTCTTTACAGCTTCAAAAAAAAAATAGATATTTCTCTCACTCTGTATTTTAGTTCTATGATAATTTGACTTTTGAAAATTTTCAGGTAGGGGTGAGGCTTTCAGATGGAAGAGAGTTTTTTGCCAAAAAGATAATATCAAATGCAACCAGATGGGATAC